GCCCGTCCCTCCGCAAGGAGTATCGGGCAAGAAATTCACTCTTCTCACCGACCAAAAATTTGATAAGACTGGAGAGCATGGCAATCTGGAAGTTCTCTTCTGCAGCGTTTTCCCTCTTCAGAATGGCAAATTCGCAACTGTCTTCTCGATGAATATGGACTTTTCCGGTGGCAACACGGGTTCGACGCGTCTCGCTTGCAAGAATGCGGCTGAGGATGGTATTCACCTGCCTGCATCGACACCAGCTTCCAAGTATCCCTTTGACCGGGTCCAGCCTTTCTCATATCTGCAGTATGATTTGGAGGATCTTTCGGAGCACCAATTCGTTGCTATTGTGGACAAAGCCGATAGTCCCACCAAAGGTTGGGTTCTGGCAGAATTTTCGGACAGTTCCGATGCTGTGATCAGGGTCCGTGGCGGCCTTGGTGGTCTGCTGAGTGCCGGGCTGAAGATGAGACTGCCCGCAAATCGTCCAATGCTCACCGAAATTAAAATTCCAGCTCTGCACTCCAGTTTGCTGGATTACAAACTCCAAATTGTGAGACACAATCATGACAAGCGACAGGAGCTCTTCGCTCCTCTACTGCGACAGTCGATATCCGACCCGCACGAGTCGAAATTCTTCGTCAATGTGGACAAGGTCGATGTGAACCTTCACGGAGTAGCGCCTTTCATGCCTCCACCCCTCCGCGAACAGGCAACTCTCGGCGGTGTCTCCTTTCAGCTGTGGACAGATCCCAGCTGTGGTTCCACTGTCGACGTTTCGCTCAAAGTGGACATTGCCGGCAGTCTGGGAGAGCTTGTGATGCGCTATCGGACCGTCTTTGCTGCATTTCCCCTGCTTGTTGTCGCTCTTGTCCTCCGTAAACAATTTCAGATGTATGACGAGACTGGCTATTTCATCACATTCGCCGAAGGTCTGGACAGTGCTCTGCGGTCATCGTTCCCAATTCTACTGCTTGCCATGTCCTTGCTGGCATCTTCTTTAGCCACGTCGGCGCGACTTCCACCTAGCGACGAACCGTTCCAGTGGCGAGTTAATGCCACCGAGACGCCGAGTGATTTTACAAAAAACGATCTGCTCTTGGGATCGCAGGATGCATTCTTCTGGTTTTTGGTGCCTGTCTTTGGCCTGATCAGTGTCGGTGTCTGCGTTATTCTCAACTATGTCGCACTGATCCTATTGTCTGTGCTTTCTTTTATCTACGGGTACCTGAAAAGCAGATCAGGCTACATTAAACGCCACGAGAAGGGGTATGTCATGACATTCTTGTTTTCTACGAATCTCGCTGACTGGATTAGAACCCCCATCTTCAGCGCTCCCACGGCAAGACGCCGGATGATCAACACCGCCATTCTGTTGGTTCTCGTGTCAACCTTGATTCCCTATCAGTTCGCCTACATGGTGGCGTGCATTGTTCAACTCGCAACGTGTGTGCGGGCACAATGGCATGCCAAGGAAACGGTACGCATCATCCATGTCTTCAATGATGAGGTAACTGACAATATGCACAGAGGTCCACTGCGCATTACAACTTCTCTAATTATGCCCACTCGATCTTCATTCTCATGCTCTGGATCTCACCAATCAACATTCTCGTCCTCTTGGTCTGGGCTCACAATCTTGTTGTCCACTGGTTCATGCCATTCTCGTCACACCATAATGTCTTATCCATCATGCCTTTCATCCTCCTTGTGGAGACCATGACCAGCGGGGCCATGATCCCCAGAGTCACCACAAGGTATGCGCCATCATTTCCTCGCGTCAGTGTCAGTCGACTAATCATCGCAGGTTAAAACATGTCACATCTATGATCCTCTTTGCCATTGCCGTCTACTCGGCAGTCTACGGCGTGTCATACGCCTACCTTCTCCATCACCTCGCTAATATCCTTGCCGCCTGGTTTGTCGTCATCTACTTCTTCAGCAGCGGCTTCTCCCTCCGACGACTTTGGTACATTCTCGAAGGCGACGATGCCACACACGGCATGTCCGAGCCAGGCGGAAGCCACCAGAAAAAGAAGCCATGACGGAGCCACTGAGCCCGATATTGAACGTCTTAATTTATGTCCCCTTATCTAATCTTTCCTTCTCCTGTTCCATCTTTGTCATCTTCATTTGGCTGAAGGATCATTACGCATACCGGAGTTGAGTTTCATGCGTGTCGTTTCTGGAGCGGTGTTTTGCTTTCGTTGCCGTGCTCCCATTGCGTGATGGGAATTGACTGTACAGAGACATCATTGAGTCTACTTCGAGTTTGGGACTTTTTCTCCGACGGCTTGACCCTATCCCTGTCCCTCTGCCTTTGTGTCTGTTGCCGTTGACTGGTCACTGGTCACTGATATACGAGGTGCTGTATGTATGGCTATTTTCAATGGTTGTTTTGTTGGAAATCTGGATATAGAGCGGTTTGTCTGAGGAAAGCGCATGTACACAAGTCACGACGATGATCGATAGACTAGCAGTGAAGGCGATCCAAGGAACAGGAATCATACATAATCATTCTACATTCCATTTGAGGTATTATACAATATTCTACAAAAGAGGAAAAGCTAGGTCTCAACAGGTCCAACCCGCACATCACCCTGTTTTCTCAGCTCCTCAATCTCCTCTTGCTTCCGCAACTCAGCAAGCCGCTCTGCCCTGCGCGCCTCGAACCGCTGCTTCCCACCGAACTTCAACTTCGTGATCAGATCCGCCGCCTGGCCCCTGGTAAGATGTTTCCTGTGGATCAACCCGTGCCGAACCTTCGATTTATTCAGGAAGCGCACCTGCGCCTCCGTCGCGGGGAGCTGTCGCCATGTCTGCCATACCGAGATGTATCTCTCCTCGAACTCGTTGGTTGCGAATGTATCTGCGGCGCGGAGGGCGGTCTCGAAGTCGGGGGCTGTGGCGATGAGTCGCGGACGGGTATGCGTGACGCTTTCATCGGAGTTTTTGAATTTGGCGACGTGGCGGACGGTGAAGATGTAAGGTTCGTCGGGTGTGTTGGCGGTAGAGGTCGGGTCGGGGTTGGGTTGGGGTCTGTACGCTCGACCTGTGTCTTCTTCCTTGTCGATTGTGAGCCAGCCTGAGGCGTCGGAGAGGATGTAGCGGTCGTCGCCGACGCGGACCCAGACGTGCGGGCTTTGAGAGCGGATGTGTTTTTCGGATTTGAGGTCGGCGATCAGGTCGTAGATTGTGTCGTATTTTGTGAAGGTTAGGTTGACGTCTGAGTCGTCAGGGGTGGGGGGCGGTTCCTCCGTTTCTTCCTCGGGCGGGGTCGTCCCAGTCCCGGTTGCGGTTCTTTCAAGAGGCATGTCTCTTAGATCTTTGGCTTTGGCGTTTTGGAGGATTTCGTCCGGGTGTAGGCCGAAGAGGGTTGGTGTGGAGAGAACGCCAGTGTTGAGGGTTGCCACCATGTCGATGATGTGGCAGTCTTCCTTGCCGGGGTACAATCTGAGTCCTCGGCCGATCATCTGGATGAGGAGGTTGCGCGACCGGGTCGGTCTGGCAAGGAGGACGCAGTCGATGTTCGGGATGTCAGTCCCTTCAGTGAAGAGACCGCAGTTCAGCAGCACGGGATACTCTCCGTTTCTGAATGCACGCAGCTGCTCCATCCGGACATCTTTTGGGGTCTTTGCCGTGATGTAGCGCGCATCGATGCCGTAGTTGCGGAAGGTCTCCGTAAGCGCTTTTGTGTGCGCGACGTCCACGCAGAATACCAGCGTGGATTTGCGGTCCTGCGCGTTAGCAAGCCATGCACGCACGGTGATGTTATTGACATTCTCTGTGTTGACAGCCCTGGAAAGAGAGCCAATTGCAAAGTCCCCAAAGCTATCCTTTTTCACCTTCGACAGGTTCGCCTCGGAGCGGACAGTCGTAAAGACCGCATTGGCAAGCCAGTTGTCGTTAATCATGTCGATGTAATCTTTATGGTATACAATGTGATCGATTGCAGCACCCAGTTTCAGTCCGTCGCTCCGAGAAAATGTAGCCGAGACACCGACGAGAACCGGAGAATCCGTAGAGGCTTCGTCCGCTCCGAAATGCTTCAGAACTTCTCGGTAGGAGGAAGCGACGATGTGGTGCGCTTCATCCACCAGCACCAGTTTAAACCGTTTCGGGTCGAACTTTGCTAGTCTATTTCCTCGCGTCAGAGTCTGCACAGAGGCGACAATGATGTCCCCAGCTCCTGAGGCATGACTATGGCCCATCTCAATCTCGACGGTTCGGTCAGGGTATGCGCGGCGGCAATGTTGCGCTGCTTGTTCCACAAGCTCTTTTCGATGCACAATAATCAAAGACTTGTCGCCTATCTCATTGCGTGACGGGATGCGACCGATTAGCTCGGTGAAGATGACCTGCCAGCGTTGAGAGAAAGATCAGCCGGTGCCCGAGCAATATGCGAACCGTCATACGAACCGTTTTGCCAGCACCAGTCGCAAGCGAGATACCCAAGCGCTTGTGACCGTCGTCCAAGTACTTTAACACAGATTGAATACATTCCTCCTGATAGTCTCGAAGAACTAACTTGGGAGATTCGAACGAGTGTGGAGGCTCTGCAAAAGGCTCTGTGATCGGCCTTGAGTTGGTAGAGTGGAAACGAACATGTTGGTGAAATGCAAGAGGTCGCCGATGAGGTCGGTTAGCTCGAGTGATGATATTCAGGATGGGAATATGCCCCAATCTCCGTCGAAAAACGTTCATCTAGTTGCCATGAAGCAAAAGCATGTCAGTCATGTGAGAGACGGCCCCGTCATTGCTCGCCTCGTAGAGGTATTATGCTATCTACAAGGCAAACAGTGCAAACATTTCTCTTATCAGAAATCTTCCAAGCCGATAAGTACCTCTACGTAACATTTTTTTGGGTTTTTGGACCTTGTTGCTACATATAGTATTTAATCATTTAACTATGCAATTATAGCTTCTTCAGGTACCTTAGGCCGTTGGGATGCGCCCATCATCTGCCCGAACTCAATGTCTTTGGCGTGCGTGCTTGAATCTCTCAAGACCCGACGATGAGCAGTTCAAGCGTTTACGAGCCAGATGAAGACGAAGAAGCGTCTGATTCCGATATCGAATCCAGATACTCAGGCACTAAATTCTCAGCCTCGTCTCTTCCAATCGACGACTTTGAACGTCTCGGTTCGACAGAGCCCGAGGACGAAGACACTCCGGAGGTAATACCCAGAGCGACAAGAGGGACACGGGCTCAGATACTGGATACCCTACGCACATCACTCGGAATAGGATGTGTGGATGCATACTCCGTTGAACTTGCAGGAACAGCAAACAATACTTCGTCTTCCGCTGTCGGCCGCGAGAATTACAATCCCACTCAAAATGGCGTCGCAATCTGGACTTCACAAGAGAAGGAGATTCTGTTCAGCATGCTCGACAGAAAAGGGGCAAACGGCGTCGCGGAAATTGCACAAGCGATTGGCTCAAAATCGGAGTTAGAAGTTCAGGAGCATCTGAAGCTCCTACACAGAGGTCTGGAACGGCAACACGTCCGAGATTCCCACAGCAGGACCATCGTCCTCGGCGAAGTTCCAGCAGCACTGGAGATTAGCCAAGAATGTTGCAAGGCACTTGATGATTACGCCGAACTATTGGCTCTTGAAGAACAGCGGGCTGAAGATGTTGTTGGGAGGAAGTTACATCAGAACGTGTGGATTGTCGACCGAGAAGTCGCAGAAATGGTAGAGGAACAGTTGGAGGAACGAGATGAGACACCTCTACCTGGCTCAAGCGTATATGTCACTGCCGAGATTTTCAACATCAATAAGTGGATCAGACTATCTGAAAGGTTCTTCATGAACGCCGGTGGTCCAAGGTTAGAGGACAACTGGGTCAACGTCGCCTGTGCTGACGAGACCCCTTCCATAACAGCGGACGCTCTTGCGGATTTCTACGCTCTGGCCGTAAGCGTGACTCGCCGTCTGGTACATTCCACCCTGTTCTTCGCCATGTCAAGACTACGGAACATGAGGGAGACCGGAAACCGCAAGGCACGAATAGTGAGATCGCGTGATGTGAAGACTGCACTGAATGTGCTCAACATGCCTCAGGATCGCTTCGACTTTTGGGTTGGGTTAGCCCGGAGGTGCAGCTTGCAAGTTGCAGACCTCCGCCACAAGAAAGGATGGCAGTCGGAGCTTATGGATTACGACGAAGTGGAAGATATTCTTTCAGGAAAAGTTCCGGTCGACGAATCCCTTGATGCAAGAAGCGCTTCCAGGCGAAGATCTGAGAGTCACGCTCCGCACGACACAGTTGAAGAAGATGATGATGACGTATCTGACGTCTATTCCTATGCTTCATCCATATTGTCATCGCCTGAGATGACACCTATCGATGAGCCGTCAGTTAATCTCGAAGAGGAACACGCAGAAGAGATCGACCAGCTGAACAATGCCTCAGAAGAAATGCGGCTTTGGAACTTGATGGGGCAGCCAGCCCCATCCGGAATGTCGTCGTTGGCCTCCAACACGGAGCAAGGCTCCAAGTTGCGCAAGCCGATTGGCGAGCGCAAGACGAAAGAAGACTTGGTCAATTGGCGCGACCGGACTTTGTACCGAAGCGACTGGGAGGAATACGGGCACGAGGTGCACGATCTCTACGAAGACTTGTCAGAGAATAGACGAAAAAGGAGACGTATTGAGAGACACATGGTCTCGCGAGGATCGCCCGTCTCAGTAGCCAGCGACAGAGATCATGAAATGAGTGGCAATGATGATTCGCAGGGTCCAAGGCACCACGCTGTTAAGAACGACCTGAGAGCCGATGATGACCGAGACAGCGACGGTGCAATACAAATCGAAGAAACAAATGATGCAATGGATATTGAAGGCTCCATCCACGAGGAGACGGGTTCTGCAGGCAGCGGAGACTCCAAGATGGATGTGGAGACAAATCCTCTCGATCAAGGTCCAAGTCAGGATTTCGACCAGGAGGGAATGGAGTACGGTTCAAACGAAGAACCAGCTCCTGACTCCGAGTTGAGCGATGGGGAACAAAAACATCCTCCTTCGTCTTGGGAACCTGAAGTCGATGCCACTGCGTCCGAGCAACAAGATTCAGTCCCGACCAGCAAGGGGGTGGCCGTTGCAGTTGATACAAGCGAACAGTTTGATATTGAAGTCGCGTACGACTCTGATTCCGATGCTACCTCTGGCGCGGAGAGCGGCTCTGATCAGAAACAACATCGTCCCGCGCAAAACCAAGGGGGTGTGCCTGTGATTGAACTTGCAGGACCGAGTATCAAACATGAGAACTTACACTTTGATCATGATAGCAACTCGGAGCCTGAGCAGGCGCCCTTTTCTGATCCCCAGTCCGACGAGGGTAACGACGATCTCGACTGGAAACCCTCCATACACTCTCAATTCGAAACTAAAAACGAAAGAATACATGCTAGTGAGGACACAGTGCCTGTTGTCAAAGAGGAGAACGTCAAATTCAGCCAGAGCCAAGATTCTGAGTCGGAGTATGAGACCGACTCTCGAGTCGAATCAGACGAGGAGGGCAAGCCGAGAGCACATCTCCGGGCTCCCTCACAACCAGCAATCAGACCTGAACGTCGACTGAGAGGCACCGATTCGGATTCATACCTCGATTCCGATGACTCTGATAGTGACGAGGGCTCGTCAACCCGTCCCCAGCGAGGAGTCAAGCTCGAACCCGACATGCACAAGCAGTCTGCATCAGGGGCGGATTTAGATTCAGAGTCGGGCTCAAGTTTCGATGATGACACGAAAGATAAAGATGAACGATATAAGAACGAAAATGAAGACGATGTGTCTTCCGGCTCGGATGACGATCTCCCATACGATCGATATCAGAATCGAGATGATTCATACTCGTCATCGGAAGATGGGGATGAGAAGAGTAATCTGCCTCTTCATTCTCAGCCCATGAGCCCGGTTGTTTGACGAGCAGAATATATACGTTGACGTGGACACGGCCGGGTTTTGGTTACTGGTGGCTATGTAGTTACGAAGCAGATATATTGGCTTATCCATTGATTTGATACCCCAGACTTATACAGCAACTATGCTGTCCCTATATAGAAATTCATAACGAAATATCAGGAAGAACTATTCGACCAATGACCGCATTAGAGGTCGGCAGGTGTCAATCGCCAAAATCGGACTTATCATAGCGTAGGAGAATGAAACAAGAGATTTGTTACCATATCGGATTAATTGACGCGGACAGTAAAACTCTCAAACTCCAAAACATCGTGCGCCTTTTCCTAGCTGGATGAACACAAACTGTAAACATGGCAAATCGTTGCAAAACCCATCCACCAGCTGAGACATCCTCTAGCGAAACCGCGTCGTTGGAACATCCCTAGGTATGTCCTGCTTTCCTCTTAATTCGCCTTGATGATATTGTACAATAATTGCAAATTATAAATGAGTAAACCACTCAATGTCCCATATCATCAGAAGAATATGTGGTATTGCGTTTCCTCGCTGTTTCGAACACGTCCAATTTTAAGCGAGCATTTTTTTCTGAATAAGGGATCATACGATCACAGGTCAAGTGTTTTGTAGTCGGCGCCCGTCTCTGCACTCAAGGGCTGTACACCGTCCCTCGCATCGCCACCTGCCGGTTGGAAGTTGTAGCGGTTGCCTATGCCTGCTGTGGCAGCATCTCCAATGAGGTTAGCCGTCTCCTCAGTGGGTCCCTTCAGGCTGATAGCTTGGAGAGAGTCTTGAACTTCCTTTACTCTCCGCTTGAAGGCCATGCGGTCCAGGAAGAGCTGCTGGCGAGCGAGTTCCAACTCCCGGCGTTCAGCTTCGATGATCTCTTCCATCTCATTGAATTGTTGCAGCTTAATTTCGAATTTCTGAAGCGTCACGTTGACAGCGGCAGAGACGAGGCGAGTCATCTCTCGTTCCTCGTGCGAGGCGAGGGCCGCAGCACGTGCTGCGGAGGTTCCGAGCGCAACCGTTGCAAGAGACGCCTTGGGCTGCTTCTCGCCTTCTCCCGACTCTGCAACGTCAGCAGCTGCCTCTTCACGAGAGGTATCTACGTCCATCGAATCTTCGTTCTTGACGCCTGCGCCCTCCTTCTCTTTGCCCTTATCCGACGGCTTGCCGGAGCCCGTGTCCTTGTCCAGCTGCTTCCTTAGTTCTTTGCGGATTTCTTCCACTGAACGCCCAGCTGCAGCTGCGGCCACAGCTGGTTCAGCCATTTGCGCCAGGAAAGCGACCACGGACAAGACTGGATTCTCGACATGGTTGATTGGGTCTCGCCCACTCGCCGCACGCATCTCGGGCATGTCTTCGACATATTTATCTTCAATTTCAAGTTGCAAGAACTTCATCACACATTCTTCCTTGGTCCTTGTGCCGACATGATTCGCAATCTGCTCCCAGTTGTCGTCAAAACTTTCCAGGCCTTCGAGAAGAAGTATCAGCTCCGAATCGGACCAAGGAGCATCCTTATCAGGTGCAATTGTGTATTCGTTATCTTCGAGCTTGACGAAGTCGGAGGCGTTGTGACTAGCAGGCATTCTGCCTTGTAAGAAACAGTTCGGGCAAAGATCGTACTTGGAGTCTGGTGCATTCGCGTTCGTGGTTGTTGGCGCTGCCTTGGCGTAATGGAATCTGAGTCGAGTGCAGTCAACCCCACAAGAGAAGCAATGGAACTTCTTTCTAGGCTCTCGGACCGCGCTTTCCATAGTCTTGGATGCGTCCGCAGCTGTACCGTTGGCGGCTGACCCCTCTCCGTTGGTCTGCTTTTCCTTATCTTCAGCAGCTGGTGTAATTTCCTTGCCCTTATCATCGTAGATGTTGCGGCGAATTTCAAGATTGAGATCGGCTTTGGATGCGGGAGTAGCGGAGGCAGCCCGGTCAGTGGCAGGGTGGGGCTTTCCGGGTTTGACAACATGCTGAGGACCAGGCTGGAAAGGCTGAAGACCTCGGGGCGTATCGGCGATCACGCGGAAATGTCCAGTGAAGGGAGGACCAATGTTCGATGGCCGCGTTTGAGGGTCAACCTTACAGGAGACCACGTTAGCTTCGGAAATGAAGTTGTAGACAATACATGTTAACTTACCTGATAGTTGATCAAGCCCCATTGCTCGAGGAATGAATGAACTCGCATGATAGCGCATACATCTCCTGCCAAGTTGCGACGGCAAGCAGTGACTGTGAGATACTCGATGGGGTTCAATCGATACGTGTTGATCATGAAATCGCGATAGTCTTTGTAGACCGCCGGCGTCTTACTCCGGTTACGACCGTTGAAGAACTCCGCTAACGCCTTCTTTTCTATTGGATGAATTGTATGCATGTCGAACCACGTCGAATAGCTGGGAAGGATGATGGCGTGTGTTTGGGAGACGAGATGTGAGCGTGCCGAAGCTTCAAGCGCTGACTTTCCCTGCACTGTTTGTTCTTCAGATGCACCCTCAGCAGACGGCTGAGCACTCGCATCGCCGGCTCCATCGCCTCCCTCGGACTCCTTCTTCGTCTCTGTCTCGGTGCCGCCCATCTCTTCATCTTCAGGCTCACCCTCATTCTGGGGCTTGGGAGAGGCTGGAGCATCTAGTGGATTATCAGTGCCCGGAACGTCTTCGGTTTTCTTCACAGGAGATTCGCTGCGTGATTGCGACCCTAAGCGGTTGCAGCAGTTGGCGAATCTAGTGTCTTCTTTCTCAGGGGTGAAGTGGAGGCAAAACCTACCAGATGCATTGGCCAGTTCGGCCGGGGTATCTTGCGGCGCAACTGCCGTGTTAACATTGTCAGCAGCGCCGCCAGGAGTAGCAGAGTGTTCCTCCATTATATTTGATTGGGATGGCCGCTGAAAGTTGGAGGTCGCAAATGATGTCGAACAAGGCTCGTTGCCGGTCTTAGGTCACTTCACTGGGAGAAGACAGGGCGCAGCTGCAACCCTTGATTGGGATTAATGCTTCAAAGGACAGAGCGACAAGTCTCCTGGGTAAAGAAAAAGGAATGGAAGAGACGTCAAGCGAAGGATGTTAGTGGGATTGATGATGGATGGAATGACTGTATCTAGGATCGCAGTGTAGTTACCTCAAGTCGCGACACGGCCAAAAACTCGCGCCAAGAGCCTCACGTGAATTAGCCTTTTTAGGACTAGCGCATATATTGGTTCCCTACCGAACGCTACTACCTCAACTCTACTCCGTACTTCGTCTACTTCGTGTTTTAATTTCATATCAGAGAGCAGCAATGCCGTAGAATGGGTTTCTAAAAACGGGATACAGTGTGCGACTATGATGATTTTTCAAACTCAGCTGCTTCTTAGACGCAGTCCAATTCGTGTATCCAAGTACTGCGAAATCAATTCAAGTACTTCAAATGTCAGGCCGCCCATGAACCTAGGTCCTTGAACACAATCATATTCCTTACTTTTCCTGTGCGGCTTTGGCTGCCTCCTGGATTTTCAAAGCCTTGGAAATAGCAGGCAGGGCATGAAGTCTCTTCAGCCACGCGTCGAGGTTTTGGAAGTCCTTCTCAAGATCGATGGCGTCCCCGGTGATTGCTGGAATAATCTGGAACCAAGGAACGAATGCAGCATCGACATAGCTGAATTTATCCCCGACCAAGTACTCGCGGTTTTGAAGGTACTTGTTTAGGACGCCGCAGACACGCCGGATTTCGTTGTAGTAGCGCTCCTTCGCGCTGTCCACCTTTTCCGGATGGTAAATGGTAAACCACACTGCTTGACCAAAGTATGGCCCCTGGCCGGACATTTGGAAATGGAGCCACTGCTTAGCATGGAAGTACTCTGGAGAGCCGGCAGGAAAACTGACGGTATTCTGCTTATCGTACGTTTCGACCAAGTATTCGAGTATGGCGCCCGATTCCCATAACGTGATTCCCGTATTGGGGTCTTCGATCGCTGGAACGCGGCCATTCGGATTGATGTTCACAAATGGCTCCTTCTTCATCTGGTCCATTGGGACGTATTTCTGCTCATATGGAATACCCAGTTGTTCCAAAATGAAAACAACCTTCAAAGGGTTAGGGCCGATAACGTGGCTCCAAAGGACGATAGGCTTCAAAGACATCTTGTAGTTTGCGCAAGAAGAACAGAAACACGACTCAGGGATATATCAGTAGGAAGATCCTTTCTCCAGGAGCTTTGGGTCTGAGTCCCATCACAGAAGAAGCAGGCAACGGCAGAGATAACCTCCGTATTTATATACCTATCATTCGCAACATCGTCATTGTTTCGGGGGCTCGTCACATTGAGCACGCCGGCAGTGCTTGGCTGCGACGGCTCACTGTTTGATTGAGATACAGAGCTATCCGTTGAACACCACCTCCTTGTCGAGTAAATTATTAAGCTCTCGAGCCCAAGTGGAGTGAGTATATTGCATGCTGACAAATTGAACATCCTTAACTATAACTAGTGGGTTGGATTGCTCTCCTTGAATCAATTCGTCGGCACTCCTCCAATCCGAGATGCCGATAGGACGCTTCACCGATGTTATGGGGAAGGATCCTCAAGATGGATTATCAATCAAGTCATCCTTGGCGATGATCGAAGGACATGGAATTGTGCTTCCTCATTCCAGCACAGAGGTACGCTTATGACCGCAGTCCCATCTAAGGGTATGATATAGCGAGAACGATAAGACATCTCGAAGATCTTGGAACTCAAGGTTGTGGCGATGATTGTGCATCTAGAGGGATCATGCTCTGTTTGTTCTTGGCATATCGCTTGACCCCGTTGTGGGGTATCCGCAGATTGCTAGATGGGGCATGTCATTGATATTGGCCTTCTCCACTCGATAAAGCAAGAACATCCATCTATTTGGACATTCTTGTAGACTTTGATCACACAGCATGAACCGTCATGCTTTCTAGCGTAAATGCTGACAGCTAGCCCGGCGAACAGATGACAATCGATGACTACCGAGCGAGGCCGATAAGATGATTAGCAATCAAATGATTCAGTACGCGAATAGTAACATCAAAAAACAAGGCTCTACTGTCTTCGGAGTAGGAGCAGATGCATACAAGCTTGCGAATCAGAATTCTCTGAGTGCTTCCGTAGACCAGATGATTGAGGGTATCGTGGACATGACCTCGAACCCAAAGAGTGCCACGAGAATGAAAATCTCTTCCAGCCGTCGAGGAAAATTTTTACCAGGATACTGAAGCTATTCAATGTTCTAGTGGCGTCTAGTCCTTTTGATATGCGCGAAATGCAACGTGATGTTCTATTCTTGTGATAATCAGACGTCATGTTTCGGAGTACGCTTCGGAGCTCGGAGTGGATCCAGCATCGTCGGGATGCCCAAGCTCAAGGCTAAACAGGACCCCGAACAGGCAACATATGGCCTAGACTGGGCTGACTGAGCGGGATGAAACTGTTCAGCAACTTGTGATATCTTACTAAACAAGGTTATTCACGATTGAGGCGTTTACGGACTGTCTCGAATGCGCGGCCTCAGTCTTCTTTACTCCGTTACGGCCACTCCGTGATCTCGACTTTGACTCATGCGCTTATTTCTCCCGAGTATCTAGACCGCAACGAGTACGTGTCAGCCAAATCAGGACTGCTAAGCTTGATCGATGGGTCACAGGTGGATCCATTCTGCCCATCCTGAATCAGAATGATCCTGTCAGATGTTGCATTCGCAAGTCGCAATCCCACAGAATTCCATAACTGCCTGAGGCTGAAACATAACGATACTCGGAGAACGTTACGCATATCGACAATTCATCGTGAGATTACTACCATAGGGTCGCCGTAGAATCTGACTGAAAAGGCATGAAAGTACTTGGCGGTCGAAAGTACGCACATTATTACCAAAGTACGGAGTAAAAGCCGGAATGATCGATCTTTCTTTGCAGGTCCCTCGAGCAAAGCCTCAATGGTGGCTGACATGGGCTGACGATCACGACACTGATACTCCATAGATAATTGGACAATTTCATAATATTAGGTGGCTGTAGGGCAGAAAATCCGATGATGTCTTTGCCTGTGATTCTAGGCTTCATGCACGTCGGTGGGTCCCGACTATCTTTTTTTTCTTACTCCGATATAATCGGAGTAGAGCATTTGATTCCGGAGTAAAATGTTCAGTATACAGCTTCACGCCGTCCACCAAGTATATAAGGAATGTCGCGTATCGCCCTTCATTCTGAAATTCATCACTCATCCAGATCAAGCTCACTCAAATACAATCAGTTCCTTGACAAAGCACACAATCAAAACAATCCTCGCAACACCATCGCAACAACATACCAGAACTATAAAGACCACCACAAAACCGAACAAAACATCCTCCGAACACCAGTCTCCAAATTCCTCTCTGAAGACCAAGTCAAAATAACATCAAAGACTTCTCCAAACCACCAATTACCACTCAAAGTCAAAATGCCTTTCAGAACCTCCATGTCATCCAACTCCTCCTCCAGCGACGCCGCCTCTACACGCTCCGTCTCCTCCAAAGCATCAACCCTAAAGGGCGTCCAAAACATGCACAAGAAGTTCCTCGCGACGAAGCACAAGGCCTACACCAACGCCAGCTCTTCCCCATGCTCCGCTGCTGCTGAGCACAACGCCGCCGTCGCCAGCTATCTTGCTCTGCGGTGATTCCACTATACTCGGAACTCGCTACTGCGCCGTCCATCCTGGTGACTGGATGGACTTCTTCCGGAATGTGATACCCTCTCATTGCGTTGAAACGACAACCAGACACGACAAATTTGCTACGCCTTTTTTATCTTTTTTTCGGGGCTTATTGGAATTTGTGATTTGAGGCGAATGGCGTCAGGGCTTTTATGGACAAAATCATTAAATCAATGATCGATACCTCATTGAGCACTTTGTATACGGCTTCCGTTGATTCGTTCTGTTCTGTTTGCATTGTTGCTGTCGAGTTTGCTTATTACCTATACCTAATAATTGCCCTAATACATAAATGCTTTGCCTGGAACATATAATATCTAGAGCGATTTCTTCTTTAAACTATGACTAGGCTTTCTCTGCACCCTTCAATAAAGTTCGCTTCCCTAGACATGGAATGCTAAGTAATATGCATAATCGTAAGAAGGCTAATATATACATAGAACCACAGTTGGGCTATAATCCGGCCATCAGCTCGTTCATGGAAATTGGTTTGCGCACAGCATTTGAAAACCCATCGTGGTACGTGATCCAGACTTTCCTTCCTGCTTTGGATGCTTCATTCTGCACTGGACTGTCGTCCGAGCTTTGCGGCAGCGGCTCCGGGTCCTTGAGGATTCTCCCGAAGAAGTCACGCTTGATGCCCGGAGCGTTTCTTATTGCATTCTTCTTCGCTGATTGGTCATCATTCTTCCCACTCTTGCCGTTCCAAGACTTCCCGGCCTTGGACGAACTAAGGGCTTCGGATTGTTTCCGCATAGTCTCCTTGCGGTATTCTTGGTCTAACACTTGACGAACGGCATATCGAACAGGAGCAGAGCCGCCTGAATCCGCAGAGGTACCTTTGATCTTGTGAAATGTCACAAATGAATCCAATGGCCTATGAGAAACTTGTTCAGCTTGGCCGCACAGCAGAAACACATAGGGAACAGGAAGTACTTACGGTTCCATACGATAAGCCCAGCCCCCATGCCCGCCACCTTCACCCTCAATTCGGACTTTTTCAAATACCACCCCCAAGCCTGCCATGACTCGAACCGCGGCCTGAACAAGCGCCCGTTCACTTTCTTTGCGAACACTGGCCACACTCTTCTGCTCCCCACTTCCACGCACCACAACTGGTTTCACATCAGGCGATAGCATGCGTATGAGATTCGGGATAAGTTCCGTGGTCAAGCAATCCGTTGAGCGGAATAATCGTAATAGAGGAGCCGAGAAAGAAGATTGGAACCCCGTAAGGATCGCGCGGCTCTGCTTTTGAGCTTCGAAGGCCGCAAAATCTGCTCTTGGACCCGAAAAGGGGTGCTCGTCCTCTTCATCGTCATCGGGATTCTTAGATATCCTCTTGCCTCCGACGGATGAAAATAGATGGTGGAATGCTATAACTGACTGACTCAGATAGGGTGTGAGTTCCCATTCTTGGGAAGTGAAGACTTTCGACGAGATGGTATCATGGAAGTGGAGCCAGTCATATGCGGCGTTAGGTTTGGAAAGAAATGTGTCGTCCTGATATGATTGAAGCGGATACGTAGCGAAACATTCAGATACACAGCGGTCATGGTCGCCACTGGCGTCAACCATTTCGCGCAGCTTATTGATGGCATGCCGTTTTCTAAGGTCCGCAACACCGAGAGGCACGTTCCCGCTAGAAATGGCGAACGGGTCATGGAATGATTCAGCATTTATGGGAGCGTCAGGGAACCCTCCACCTTCCAAAAAGACACGGTCCACAATGTCTCGTACACCTCCGCGATTCAGCCCTTTAAAGAATGAGGCTTCAGCCGTACCACTGAGAACCCGTTGTTCGAGCCAGCTCCGTGTTAGTCTGAGAGACGACAGGTTTTCGTTTCTCAGCTTATGCGCCACCCACTCCGCGGCGACAAGCACGCTTCGGATATCACCTTCGGCCGTCCCACTGCTTTTGAGGCCACCACTTTTCTTCCTCGCCAGACCCCATGATGCCTCGCATAGCCGCCGCACACCATCGTTGTCTGATGGAATGCCCTCCAGAGCTAAGATGTTCTTCAAGCGTGAGACAACATTTTCAAACGGTGCTTGGCGGACATGAATGATCTCAGCTACAGAGGAGGCTCTCAGGGGCCGTAAGCTAGGGTGATACACGTCATTGCAAACCAAGATCAGTGGGCGCAAGAACCGGAAAGTGTCGCCTTTACGTTTTTTCCCGTTCTTGGCATTCTGATCGGCTGATCGTGCCATGTTCTTCTGATCGAGTAGAACGAGGTCAATTAGGGCCTTCATGAAGCCTCCTTCTCCACCGCTCCCAGATCCGCTAACGACTCCGTCGACTTCGTCAACCACGACGCACACTGGTCGCCCAGCCTTTCGCACTTTGCGATCTCCCACCTCCACATTCACTCCTTTCACGTTTTCAGTGCCAAGGGCATCTCGAATCCGCCCCTTGACAACGTCTCTGCTGCGGTCATCACTGGCATTGATCTCTAGTACCTCGTATCCTGCTTGTTTGGCGCATACATGGGCCAATGTGGTCTTTCCGAGCCCTGGAGGACCACACAACAGCAGAACCTTACGGTGCAGCCGTTCGCCATCATCGTTGTTGTTGCCCGGCTTTTTAGTTCTCGACTTGGCAAGATTAGGGAAGACGATCGGCTCCCAGCCCTTCAACCATCGCAAAACAGATCGATGGATGCGCTCGTCTCCAATAAGCTCAGTGAACTTCCGAGCGCGGTATTTCTCTGTCCACATCGCCGCTGCCATTTTCTTATTCCTTTGGCCCTCAAGAGGAGCCTCGACAGATTGCTGTATCGTGCGGTCCGGTGCTTTTGTGGAAGCTTTAGCCTGTTCAGTTTCTCTTGCAGCCTCATCCAATATTTTATGGATGTCAATGCCATAGTAGCTTTTCTGCGCTCGTCCTGGTCCCGTAGTCGAGCGACTCGCAACTAGCCTCTCGTATGAAACTCGGGGCTTAGAAGTTCTCTGAGTGACTGTGTGTGTCTTCCCAGAGCAAGTCTTTATTTTAACCGATTGCGTTGTTCGTCGTGGCAAGTCATAAGTTAGCGCAATCGAATCGCTCACGCTCGTAGTAGAAGGCTCTGTGTGTATAGATCTTGAGACGATTTGTGGCAGGTCCACTGGCTCCTGCTCGATTAATTGCTCCTCCAACTCAAATTGGCTCTTCATTTGAGCATCCTGAAACGCCGCCAGCTCATCCACGTCTTCATCTTCTTCATCCAGAAAGCCGCCCATAATTTTCTGCCGCTTAGGCTCCATTGACTGTGACTGTTCATCGTTTTTCCGCTTCTGCGCCTCGTTCGGAGAAGCGGCGCGGGATGGAAAAGCAACCGGGGACGAGATGAATGGCATCTCGGTGATGGGAGGAGAAGAGGGTAAGTAAAAGCCTGAGTTTATTTCAGGTATTTCATTTGGTTCGTGTAATGCCTTTCGCGCTCTCGTTGGAGTATCTGTTTCAATGTCAGATTCTCAGCCGTCCTCCACCCACTCGTCAACGCTGCGTACCGGGTCTCACGTCCTCGTCACTTCGAAAGACGTCAGATAGATTCCAAGCCCGGTGTTGTATAACAACCTTGTTACGAATGTTCTCTAGTCGGTGTAGGTTTAAGGCTTCGAGATCGTCGGAGAAGGTTTCTGAAAGAGGGTTCTGTTCTTCGGAGTGAAGGTGGATAGCTGGATCAAACGAAGGGGGAATCAATGGTGGAGAGGTTGTCATTAAGGTCAATTAGAGGGACGTATCAATTCAATGACACTATACGGAGTAGTAACAAAACAAAGAAAAGAGGGTAGCTATCAGCTTAGTCGCTCCCCATAGTTCGATGAAAAGTGAATAAGACGACGCGTTCAAGACGCGCCAGCGGAGTACGCGCCTGGCCGCTTATCGTTGCTACTTCATTGCAGGCCACTCCGCATTTACTCCGTAGCACTCCGATAGACTCCTCAACACACCTACGTTCATGAGTTGCGATCGATTTCAACTCAATTGAATGCATGATCACGTTTCTCATCGACGAAGAAGGCCCTGCGACAGCTTTAGATAATATTTTGGGTGGAGACCACCTTCCTAGCCTTTGCTACGTTCCGTCCACCAATTCATTTTAAATGTACAGAGTAGCGAGAAGTTTCTGGCCTATTTTGGGCGCGCCTCGTAGATTCAGGCGCACGTTGATTTAAGCAGGCATAGGATGGATTGTTGATACTAGGCTCCAAATCTATTTCCTAGCATTGGCGTTGCGTGGTATACATTTTATATAAACACACCACCTGTAGAGGGTTGCATAAGGAAATGAACAACATGACAAGGCTCAATAAAAATCATAAAAGGTACTTCCGCAATGAGATCTTTGTATTTACGCCTGGCTCTTCAGCTTCTCGGTAAGCTCTGGCACTTTCTCGAAAAGATCGCCAACAAGGCCGACATCAGCAACCTGGAAGATAGGAGCATCGGGATCCTTGTTGATAGCAGCAATGACCTTGCTGTCCTTCATACCAGCAAGGTGCTGGATGGCACCCGAAATACCAGCGCACAGGTAGAGCTGAGGCGCAACGTTCTTGCCTGTCTGGCCAACCTGGAGACTGTTGTCGGCGAAACCACTGTCAACCGCAGCGCGGGAAGCACCAATTGCAGCTCCCAATGCGTCGGCAAGAGGCACCATAATGCGGTCAAACTCCTCTTTCGATTTCAGGCCACGACCACCAGACACAACACGAGAGGCAGTAGCCAGATCAGGGCGCTCGGACTTGGCGAGCTCTTCAGATACCCACTCGGTCTGAGCGGGAGCATTGGGGTCAGCTCCCTCGACGACCTCGGCAGAGCCGCCCTCGGTCTCAGTACCCTGGAATGCAGTGCCTCTGACTGTGATCACCTTGATGGGATCGGTCGATTGAACGGTGAGGATGGCGTTTCCGGCGTAGATTGGGCGGACAAAAGCTGCATCAACGGATTAATATGCGAATGACTCATCACGTAGTCCGACGAGACTCAATCCGGGGGCCACATACTGTCCTCGCTCTCAATTGCTGTGATATCGGAGATCTGTTGCACATCGAGCAGAGCCGCAACACGAGGCAAGAGACTCTTTCCAAAGGCAGAATGCCCCGCGATGATGTGGGTATATTCGCCCTTCTTGATATTCTCCACAAGAAGAGGAGCGTAGTTCTCGGGCAGCCCCTGGATTTCAATGAACATCAGTACCTGCAAAAAAGCATATAAATCACTATATGACAACCCGGGTCACTCTAACCTTTTCATAAGCGTCGTTCTCCACCGCCACTACTTTGTCCAGGCCCTTGATCTTAGCTGCTTCGGCAGCAGCAGTTCCCTTCACGCCTGCGCCAGCCACGAACGCTGTGACTGGTCCCCCAAGCTTTTGCGCCGCGGCGATTGCTGAGAGGGAAGAGTTCTGGAGCTTGCCATCACGCTGTTCAAGCACGGCTAAAGTGGAGAGAAGGCGGGCAAGTGCGGAGGCTGTAGGTTGATTGAAGGCCCGCGATGGCTGGAATTGCGACCGGACGGCCCGCAGGGCGGAGTGTCTTGCAATCGGAATCATTGTGCTATATTCAGAGAGTGGTGAGACCTGCTCAGATCTCTCGTTGGGTCGGCAACAAGGATGAGTTTTTGAATGCGGGTAACAGGAATCAGAGACACTGAGGATTATTCCGACGGGCTCAGTGGTTATCGTCGGAGCGCCAAGCATCGCCGATCCCGGCCTGTCCTCGGTTATGATGACCGAGCTCATGAGGCCTCTACAAGCTTACGACCGAGTATCTACGATTTGTACTCGCTTCTGGGGATACACTGCTTCTAAAAGGGAACTTTTATGGTGATCTAGAAAGCATGAAAGGCCATATCAGAAAAGAGACTTTTTGTTCTTCGAGGGGTATTGAGAACACGCCCTGTGTCTATATCACAAAACTGACACACGTGACATTAAGTACGCCGCGGCAAAACCCGTATCTTGGACAAATACAACATCCGTAAAACACCAGTATAGAAGCAATTATGAAATCGACTTTCTCTTCTTCTTTGAAAGCCCTGATGCCACTTTCTCTGCGTTTGTAACCTTCTTGTTACCAGACTCGTTCCCATCCTCCAACGCCTTAGCCTTCTGCCGCTGAAGCTTCTCTTTTCTTGCAGCCATGGACAACGCATCGTCATCCTCATCAGCCTTCGGCTTCTTGGCCTTCTTATTGTCCTCGAGTAACTTCTCGTCATCGCCAGTTTGCTTGCGCTTCTTGTCATTCTTCGCACCCTCGATAGCCTTGACATCTTCCTCAGCATCTTCCACAACGTCACCCTCGTCCACCCACAATTCGCTTGCCAGCCAAATAGGCATGGCCATAGTATTAGCGCCCTTGATGTGAAGAGCCTTGACGTTCCTCCAACCCTTCGTAATGAACTTATCCGTCAAACCCTTGACAACAGTTTCAACATTCTCGGCGAGCTGCTCTGGAGTAAATTTAGATGAGCCCACCCGAATTGCGGCCGTGGTAGCAGGCGCAAGTTGTACGGCGGCGCAGTTGAGCGTCTTCTCAATTTCCTTGGCGACAATGGCCGGGGACGCGAAAGTACTGTCATCGTCCTTTGACTTCTTCTTGGGGTCTTTCTTGACCTTCTTGCCGTCCACTTTCTCAATTTCGGCAATACGGATGGGAATTGGCCGCTTGCTCGACTTGTAGAACACCTTTCCAAGAGTATTTACCAGTCGCATGATAATCCGGTCATCTGCGAGGAAAACATCGTGCTCAGAGAGTAGCTGACGACGACTCTCGAAACTCTGATATCTAGCCTTGAGTTTCGAGTAACCAATGATCCGGTCAATGCGAGAGGAAAGATGCTGAGGGAAGGAAGGATCGGCGACGATATTCTTGACCGAGCGCTGAGGATCGGCGGTGATAAGGCAAATACTTAACGACGGCGAGGCATTGAGGGAGTGTGGAATGCTGATTTTTCCGGGCTTCAAACGGTTCTTGTCGACAACGTGCTTCTTCGTGGTGAGCACAAGCCAGATCGCCTCATTTTTCAGCGGAGTGTCTTCTTCGGAATCTTCATCGTCGCCGATAAGTGTCTTCTTTGCCGCTGTCTTTTCCTGCTCTTCCTGTTTCGACTTGATGTGTTTCAAGAGTGCGGAAGAAGCTCTGGCGACCTAAATGATCCGTGATTAGCAAAAGGACTGGTCTGTGATGATCATAAGGTGGTAGACGCAGGGACATACTTGGCTCTTTTCAAGCTGATAAGGAGACCCCGATTCCACTTTCGTGGTGAGCGCTGTGGAGGACACCATTCTTATAAACTGATTGACTGCCGTTGCAGAATTCGAATATCTCAATTTCTGCGATAATGGAAACCAAAAAAATTCACGGGAAGGCGGTAGGCAAATTTGTCCGGTCTTGGCGTGTATGCATCTGCTTAGTCATGTCCCCTCATCAAAATAGCACCGAACGACATCGGTTCACCAGCAAAACTCATGATTCTCTAACCTTCTGAATGATCCTGAGAATTCATCTCTAGATAACGAAGCTTTTATATTCAGTTCAGAAATGAAAGTCGAACATACCAGTTGGTGCTTGTATTCATTCTCTTGGAGTATTCGAAAATGTGACTATAATAAGCAGTAATCTGTGTGCTGGTCATATGCCGAAGGTATGCTTCAATCGACATACTTGAGATCTCCTGCAGATACAAGCAAGGGCCACAGTATTCACGGTATGATTACTCTGAGCATGTTTTTCAGAGAATTCTTCTGGCTCTATTATATTGGCAAGGAGCGCCTGATTTGCATATATACGTCGCAGAGACGTACATATATATATACGAGTGAGCTAGGAGGACAACGACTCTTTGGACAATCAGGTATAGCTTATTCAGTTTACAGGTCAGATACAGCATCGACTTTGTCTCAGTGAAAGTCATGTTTTCAAATGTTTGGCATATCCTGGTTCTATTTCCATTCGTTTTGTGCTGCTGAGAGATCCAAGTATGAACGTCTTGGGTCCACAATCAGTAATCCTGGTATCACTCCTATTCCTCATCGGTTCATTTGGAGCATAGTGCCGTAGCACAGTAGCCTCGGTTTAGACTGAGCGTACTCTTGCAAATTTGCGGAATATCTACAGGCGGTTCGATGATGTTTGACGAGCTAATGAGCTTAAATTATAACAATATTACGATTGACGATTTGTTTACGACTATCTACTCGCATGGCACATCTAAAGGAGTATCGACGACACTCGACAGAGGCGGAAGACTCATCTAGTTAACGTAATCCACAACCGAGCGAGCCACCCAAGCGAGCGAGCCACCTCGGAACCCCTGAAACCTTGCATCCATTGGATCATCATCAAACCCAATTTTCCATCCAATATGACATCAAAACAACCTGATTCAACTGTTAAATTAGAAGATCGCATATCTCTTGCAGTCAAAGCATACCAAAATGGCCAGTTCAAAAGCATACGAGCAGCAGCAGCAGCATATGATGTTCCTCAATCTACTCTTACACATCAAATCAGTGGACGCAAAGCGCGGGTTGATATACCAGCCAACTGCCAGAAGCTTAGCAGTCTAGAAGAGGGTTCTCTGAAGAAATGGATTCTGGATATGGATGAGCGCGGCCTACCACCAACTCAGGATACTGTATGCAAAATGGCAGATATCTTACTATCTCATTGGAATCCAGGCCTATCTACTGGAAAGAACTGGGTCAGCAACTTTATTAAACAGCATGATGATCTTATATCAAAATATACCCGCAAATATGATTACCAGCGTGCAAAATGTGAGGATCCAGAAGTCATCAACCAATGGTTTAATCTTGTTCAGAATACTATAGTAAAATATGGTATTCTTGAGCAGGATATCTACAACTTCAATAAGACTGGCTTTCAAATGGGTGTAGCCCATACAGCAAAGGTTATTACTTCATCCCGTCATCAAACAAGCCGCGTACGAGCTATACAGCCAGGGAATCACGAATGGGTCACTGTCATTGAATGCATTAATGCCTCTGGATGGCCTCTCCCCCCTATGATCATCTTCTCCGGCAAGGTCCACCAATCTCAATGGTATCAAGATATCAACCCTGACTGGCTGATTGGTCTGAGTGATAATGGGTGGACTAATAATGACCTTGGAGTTTTATGGTTGGAAAAGGTCTTTGAAAAACATACTATGGCTCGTACAATTGGGAAATATCGGCTTTTGATTCTTGATGGCCATGCTAGCCATGAATCAGCAGAGTTTGATCTTTTCTGCAAGAATCATCAGATCATCCCTCTTTATATGCCTTCTCATTCATCTGATAAACTGCAACCTCTTGATGTTGGCTGCTTTGCACCCCTAAAGGAGGCATATGGGATAGAGGTGATGAGAAGCATTCAAAACGGCATTCATCACATTGATAAGGAGAACTTTCTGACACTTTATAGAGAAGCACGAAAGGCCTTATCATCCAAAAATATCCGCAGTGGATTTGAAGCCTCTGGTCTTGTTCCATTGAATTGCCAACGGGTGTTGGATAAGCTTACTATCAAGCATATTACACCACCATCTACTGCCCATGGTCCTTCAGATCAGGAATAGACTGCAAAGACTCCTTATACAACTGCTGAGGTACAAAAGCAGATGCACCTCATCAAACAACTGATCAATCGCAACTCTGAAAGTCCTCTAAATAAAGCAATCCGTCAGCTAGCAAAATCGGCTGAATATACCATGCATAAAGTCCTTCTCCTAGATCAGGAGATAAAAGGGCTACGCGCAGCAAATGAGAAGCAGAAATAAAAGCACACAACCCCTAGATCTTTTATTGCTACTGGAGGTGTTCTGATAGGTGCTAAAGGCCAGCAACTTGCCCAAGAAGCTATACAGGTGATGGAACCAGTTCCTAAGAAGCGTGCGCCACCACGATGTAGCAATTGCCATCAAATTGGTCATATTAGAACAAGCTGTCCTAGTAGACCTAGATAATTCAAATGTTCAAAGACTTTTTGCTTTGGTTTGATTCCGTAGTACTAAGATATCTTATAGTTGACTGCGGGCAGAATCATGTTCGGGTGGCTCGCTCGGTTGGGTGGCTCGCTCGGTTGTGGATTACGTTACTTGATTAACTCTGGAGATCCACCCCTTAGTCTACACTATCCACATGTGAGGGAAAGGCCTCGAATGTACGGAGTACGGAGTATCAGCAATGGTCTCGGAGTGGCATTCGCTTCTCCAATATAATTTCTACACGATCTAGATGTCGCAGGGAGAAAAGACAGGCTTCGAAAACATATCTTGCATACTTAGCGGCTTGCTATATATATTGTTACCTGGCTCCTCGGCAACAGTTAGACCCAGCACGTTGGTGTAATTGAAGCATGTAAGGTAGCCCAAGTGTGGGCAACGGGCCTCGAACTTTCGTAGTCAAAATTGGCCCTAGATTTCGACCTCGATGTTCATACTTACAGGTGAACATATTTCTGGCAATTTCCAAGACTCAAGTCAAGTATCCGTAAATGATATCTATTCTGTATTGCTCTCAAAATGGCCCCGCAATAGAAGCAATAT